GGTCCCATCTGTCAGTAAAATTTTTGTGGCATTTGTTGAGGTCTCCAATTATCCAGTACTTGCTTTCTAAAAGATAAATAGATCTGCCATCATCATATCCCATTAATTAAACAAACCGATGAAAATATACTATCCCAAAAACGAAACGCATAGGCCAGAAATCTGTTGCGAAAATGAATTTTCAAACATGTAAAACTCGTCCACAATAGACTTTAGTAGATGATTTTTTACATCAGTTTAGAAGAAAGAAATCTCTATACAGCCAAGTGGATAATTTTAGATAACCGAGACGCTGAGTGACGAAGGTGACGACGTAGCAAGGCCCCGACGTCGGGTCTCCTGGCTCTCAGTCCAACCTCTCTCGTCCCTAGTATGGTGATCTACCTTCAGTTGTTGGTGATCTCTAGCCCGTTTTTATACATTGTATTATTCATAAAATTTGTTTAATTTTACAGTTACATGCTAGTTTTAGTTCTCTATCTGTGATAATCTAGTTATTTTACTGTCCTTCGTCGACATATTTTTAATGATTTTATTGCATTTATTATGAATTTATAATTTGTTAAATTCACGATATGGCTGAAATATTGCCGATGTGACTATAAATCTTAACTCACTCACTCACTCCAACCTCTCTCAACCTGTTCCGTACAGATGTACCGATCTTGGCCTGCAGTAGTGACTCGAGGTCTGCCTGTACGGGGACTGTCATTTGTTTTATCTGTTTGGCTGTAACGAGATGCAAGCCGTGATATCGTGCTCAGACTCACATTGGTAATCTCCAGCGTGCATTTTTTCAATGGCGATGTTCCGTGTCGGAGCGTCAAGACGTGGCGTAGTGATTTGACCTTCAAACTCCTTCAAAACGAATGTAGATTTCTGAAAGTAATCTGGATTTTTATAGCCAGACAGTGCACGCTCTTTGCTGCACGACTTCAATTGGAAGGTGATTTTTGTTGCGTCGTGGCGATGCGTTTTAATCCTTGCAAGAAATCTCATCAAAATCAACATTTTTCTTGTGCCATTGTGTGAAATCACGGTATCAACACGTTTGCTACATGTTTTGAAGATTGTTTGAACACAATAGGTAATTAATAGATTTTTTTAAAAACAAAACGTCTATGCGTTTCTTTTTTTGGATAGTATACTTTCATAATGTTCCATGTACTTCAATAATGTATCACTTCTTGAAGATACATCGTTTAGCCCTTTAAAACTGAAAACAAAACCATTTCAGAATTTCTGTACAGGTTGTGACGTATTCACCGTGGTGCGTCCGATGGTAATAAGTATATAATCATCTTTACCTGCAAATTGTACCAGACTGCAAAACACTTTTAGTTCAAGCTGTGGTGTCCAGATTTGTCTACTTGTGTGATCATCAAACTTGTTGACAACCCTCTAAGTCTGTTCTTGCTGCAGAAGTTGTGTTCAATGTATACCTAAATGTGAAATAACATAGTCAACTCCAAAAAAAACCCGGCCCCGTTTGTAACCGATTAAAATATCAGAAAATTCAGTAAATCTTCATGCACCTGAATTCATAGGATCTTAATTATGGCGAAGTTCATGTCCATTAGATATAGTTCATTACCACGACGACTAAATCTCAGATGTTTTGAGAGCCATTTCTACGCCACCATCTAACAAGCGATGTATCCTACAAATGGGTTTTGTCCATTATAGATGTAATTAAGGTGTAGAATATACGACAAGCTTGCACACAAAATTGGTTATACTTACTGGCCCTGCAATAGATTGTATTCTTCTCTATATTACATAAATATTAATTGTAACATTTTACAGGAGGTTTTCAAGATATATTTTCTAGATTTTCTCCTTGTGTTTCGTTATTAGTAAAGAATGAGGAGATTGAGAATTTATTATTTGTTAACCAGTAAATAAGTTACAGTGTTTTAGGTCTGAAGGTAAAGGTAACGGTATGCATACACATTCAGTTTGTTAAGAAAGCATAAAAGAGGCATAAAGGAATTTTTTATACTTGCTCAAATGGCATAACCCGGCAAATAAGCATAGAAAAACAAAATCCATATGCTGTATACACGTGGTAAACGTCAATTGGAAGTCATATAAACTTAATAACTCCACTATACCGGTCTGTGTATTTCTAACACGAACATATAGTCCCATGCTCTATATATCAGGTACTCGCGCTTTTCAATCTCAAGAGAGCTGGCCCTATTGCAGTACAACACAGCGGGCCCTATTGCAGTACAACACAGCGGCCCTATTGCAGTACAACACAGCGGCCCTATCGCAGTACAAGACAGCGGGGCCAGTTGCAGTACAAGACAGCGGGGCCTATTGCAGTACAACACAACGGCCCTATTGCAGTACAACACAGCGGCCCTATCGGAGTACAACACAGTGGGGCCAGTTGCAGTACAACACAGTGAGGCCTATTGCAGTACAAAACAGCAGCCCTATTGCAGTACAACACATTTGGGTGTATTGCAGTTCAGCACAGTGGGGCATATTGCAGTACAACACGGCGGAGCCTATTGCAGTACGTAACAGTGGAGCGTATTGCAGTACAGCACAATGTAGCATGTTCTGGTAAATAACCTTGCAGCATGCTGTAGTGCATCACAATGTAGCCAGAATAGGGTGCCAGTGACCTTAACAAAATCTAAAGGAGCGTGATATATTATGGTAAAATGTTCATTTAGAGAGGCGAGCATGAAAAAGTGCATTCAACCACTTGGAAGCACAGCAATGCTTACATGATTGCAAATTGACAAACTTGTATCACGATTTGAGGACATGATTGTGAGGGTTGCGTAGTCATTATTTGGAAGAAGTAAAGTATGAGTGAGTAACACCACTTATGCTTTCATCATAGGCTCTTACCCGTGTTCTGAAAGCAACCTTGTCTTCATGGTACAACACTAGAGCTCACAGTTGTACACTAAAACAGGGGTCATCTAATCCATCTCAGAATAATTGTGATTCTACATAGTGAACACAGAAAGCTTACCTGTCCACTGTCAGTTCGTTAGAAGAAAAACATTACGAAAATTGTAACATAATTCATCATGTGCATTAATCAATCAAATTACAACAGCTGTGTAAGACTTGCTCAAGTAGCAGCAATAAATGTATAAAATAACGTAACCCGGAAACGTAGCAATGAAACATAAATTTCATATGTGTTTTACCAGTGATAAATGTAAATTCGAAGTCATGAAACCTTGATTACTTACCTATACTGGCCTATGTATTTCGATCACGAACATCAGATCTACCTTTGGTTGTAATGATTTTCCATCGCAAGGGATAAATATTTCAATGTCAAACAATCAAGGATCTTCTATACAATGTTAGTTATCAGTTAATATCTCTGTTTAAAGAAACATAATCTGTTTGATAAATTATCACTAAAGTTGCGTAAATGGATAAATGTTTTATGATTGGTAGTTTAAATTAGTCAGGTTGTGATTGACTTTTCATCTTCTAAAGTTGTGTTTACTGACAACCTGCATTTATTTTCTCAAATAAAATTACATAAAAATTCTGGGTGGTTGGCAATTGTCTATTGACTATTATAGAAAAAAATAACTGGGTGGCAATTGTCCCGGGTGGCAGTTGACCTAGATGGCAATTGTCCAAAGTGGCAATTGTCCGGGTGGCATTCGTCCTGCTCCCGTTTGAATTTACAACTGATATTGTCAGTGGCTGTATCCTTGAAGGGGGTTAAAGTACTGTAAAATTATTGTCCTCCTAAAAGGGTACGTAAGTCCAAAAACAATTTAAGTAAAATTTAAACATGCAACTATTTTTAACTGCAGTATATATGTTAGTTAAATTGTCAAAATTGCTAACATCTGAAGGCATAGTGTAAATCCTTTTTTATACTGTATTGTCTTCTGTAGGCTAAATATTTCAGATTTACATACTAGTTTTTATATTCATAACTGTGATATTCTGGTTGTTTTTACTGTCCTTTGTTGACAGACTTTTTAAAATTAATATGTATTTATGGTGAATTTAAAACTTGTTTTAGTCACGATATGGCTGAAATATTGCCGATGTGACTGTAAATCTTCACTCACTCACTCACTTACGCACTCACTCACTCACTCACGCACTCAGGTCTACCTACTTGTCCTCTATATATCATCTGCCACATGTGCGCATGTTTTATATGACGAGGGCAGTATCTGTCAGATGGATGGTTGCAAAGTGATGCAACGACTGCATTATTTTAGAAATATATAAGAAAATATCACACTCCTCACAGCGAAAACGTATTCACGGGACGTGTCTTGTTACTGCAGTGACCACACTCTCACCAGTCAGTGTTACCATGGTGCACGTCGCGAGCCGGTAGACTATCTTTCTCACTATTTTGCTGCTGCCTTTTCGAAATCTGAACTGAAGGAAAGGCAAAGGTCATATTAATCAGGGGAGATAAGTTTCGATAACGTGAGAGTTACCTCTCTTCCGTACTCCTCACAGGACTGTGATGTTTAAAGTTTACTTTTAGGTGCTAATGACGTCACAGGTTTAACTAAAACGGCTTACGAATTTAGAAATGGTATGTTTTTCGTGTACTTATGCGTGGTGCCTCAAGGACATTTTTTAGCATTATTGCTTTACACATTCTTCATGTTCAGTTTTAACTGAATTATCCCTTTAATTATTGAAGAGATGATGTAATTCGCGTCGTCAATAACAAAATGCCAATTTTACAACTACAAGTCCGAAGTGCTGACTATGAGCGATATAGCTGAGCAAACATGACATGCAATAGTATTCCATGTTTCGGTTCACCTGTCCATTAGTTGGGATATCTAAGCTTCAAGGCAGCAGGTGAACCATATCCTGGGTGCAGATGTTTGCCTTTTTGTCGAAATGTTCCGTCATGTTATACTGGCAAGCATTCTTATGTAACATGTTTTTGTCGTTGTATTCAGCAGGTGCTTGTTCTGTGAATATGTATAAATGCAGCTACATTTCAACACTTTCCAGCACATGCAACATGAATGTATCAGGCATGATTTGCTTTACTCTGGTAGTGAGCCTTCTTCTGGCTCAGACCGAAGGACGGGCTTTCAATGTGAGTATATGTTCTGCGAACTGTTTCACTACAATTTGACAAGGGTATGATGGTGAAACTCCTGGAACAATCTTGAAACTTAATGTCAACTTTATGTCAACTTAGAGGATTCTGAAAAATATTGAAATATGTGTTTGCGTGTTAAGTAAGATGCCTTTCAGTTTTTAAGTACGTTACTATAGTTTTATGTTCATTTAACACATGATGTCAAAAAGAGATGCAAGGTGCCTCCACAATTGATTTCCTCAGCGTTAATGTATGAAATGACCGCCTCCGTGGTGTAGTGGTTAGACAGTCCGCCCGGAAAGCGGAAGATCGCTTTGTTAATATACAATCGTCAGCGTTATATGTTGTTGTTCATATGTTATTAATGCACATGTTTAACATCGAATTTGTTATCTGCACTGTTTTGAATATTAAATAAACAATTTAGATTTTTCAAAAACTTAGTTGGAATCAACAGGTGCCTAGTATAAGGCCAGTGCGAATATTAAGACTGGTTATGTCTATACACACATACAGAAAGCATGTTTGGTTGGATTGACTAGGACATCAAACTCATATTTATTCATTTTATGCCACAGAACGCTCAATCACGTGAGAAGCGACAAACAAGCAGTAAGTAAAAATGTTTATTCATGAGTTGTCTTCAACATTCTATTGTTTTCAGTGACGTATATATACTCTTCGTGTGCTGTGTCTACCATTAAGGTCCTAAATTGTCATCTAAACCATTGTATTACAGCTGCTTAAACAGCGCACTATTTAGTAAAATTACTATTAACACGGAGGTTTTAATGTCAGCTTGGTAAATGTTGTTCATCTTGACCTTCTCTGAGTTGTCCACCATTATCAGCATGTAAGGTGTAATCACATTTCTTCTGCAGGTTGTGACGGAGGAACAAGGTATGACACTTTCGGGCCAATTTCCACCAACACTGAGGGTCAGTACAGCAACAACGAGAACTGCTGCTGGGAATTCGCACCTGACATAGGAGGGACCACATTTAATATCACGTTCAACTTTGACACGTTTGAACTAGAAAGTAGTTCTACTTGTAGATATGATGCCCTTACTTTCTACACGGTAGATGGGCCTGAGAAGGAGTGTGGACTGAAGACGAACTTCACAAGGACATGTGAGTAGTATGTTTAATGAAGTTCATATTTGCAAATGTAATGCAGAACGTAGGCGTAGAAAAATGTAAAATATAAACAAACAGTAAGAGTCTGTGTTAGTGCTTTTATTCTTTAAATGGTTGGGTATTCAGCATGTACGTGCATTGGATTGTTGAGTGCATTTCATCCGGATGCAAATACAACCAATGAATAAATAAACAAGGTACTGAAAAAGCTTGGCTTTCATAGTTCTTGGTCTTGAGGTGACGATCCACAAAACACTGTGGCAAACTCGAAAGTCATCTATTCAGAACCAAAATGATCTTAATGATGCCTGGCATTCGGGATATCCTGGTATTTGCTAATTATCACAGAACAGACTATCAATTATCACACACAAAATAACCAAAGCAAATAAATATTAATTAGTACAAGTTTTCTATTCTTTATATTATCACCATCAAAACATGAATCCAATTTAGTTAACGGCAACAACCGAAATTTGATAGCGCAATGTTTGTCGAATGCAGTGAATCAATGCCTTGTTAATCGGTTGTTACATCTTTTAAACTTTATGCTGTGCACATTTCAACTATTAAATATTTCAGTCACGGTGACAGAAAGTCCCTTCCAAGTGTGTTTCACCAGCGATAACTCCGTTACCGAACAGGGTGTCAGTGGATCCTACAGCATAGCCGCAGGTGAGCAGAACAATCCATTGTAGTACATACACAGGCAAAAGAACAAACAGAATTCGTGTTAAACTTTTACTGCCACCAATAAAATGTCATTATATGAAAGGTATGGTAACGAGTAACAAACGAAAACCGCACATATGTAAATAAGCAACTGCACGAAAGGAAGTTCAAGAAGCGTGTCCACCTTGCACATTGATGCAGGCTTCATCAAGGAAACACGACTCTGATGAATAAGTCATGGGGAAGATCATTCATGGGGAAGAAGTAGAGTTTCTGTAGCGTTGTTGGAGGTTTTGATAACTTCGCAGACGTCACTTTGTTTCAGTTCAGACGTGCTCATTGGGTGGGAGCTATAGAGATATTGCGACACAGGGTAACACCTTAACATGGTTCTAATTAAGATACTGCTCTACAACTCGCGCCATGTCTTGTCATCCCTTATCGTAATGAAACGTGACTCAGGGCCAGTCTGTTGCAAACACGATAAAGTGGTCATTTGCAAATCCTCGTCTGAATACCTCATAGCATTCAGGTTCACCTCAACCAACATCATTGGCGTCCTTGCTGAAGCTGTTGTAACGCCCTCGCCTCCAACACAATCCTCTTTTAGAACCTGACCTGATGTAACGTTCACCTGTGTGTGACACGTATCCTGACTGAAGAAGGAATAATGACTCATTTTCTCCACCTACGTGAATTCTGAATTTCATGAATTATGATTTAATAATAGAACATGTGTCTATATAATCTATTATTATGTCTAGACACAATATATCTTAACTGTCAAGGGTGTTAGGCGACTAATCGGAACAGCTACCTGGCCATGCATGGCTATGCACTGTTTTGCTGAAAACGTCATCAAGGGTGCGAACTGGTGTTTCTATGAAATCTACCCTTGGTCTTTTGAAGTGCACATTTGCTGGTCGTTTGTCGATAATGCCATTCGTTTTGCGTTCCTTCTACCATTTTTACCAACTTTGTTTATGGTTCAAATAACTACATTCTAACGATTAGCAGTTACTTATGCCTCTGAATAAAGACATTTCATTTTCTTGTCATCAGCACTATTGTGATAATTGAGAGGGGGTCAATTGTTCTATTGAATTCATTTCTTGTTGTGCCATACATGTAGACTGTTTGAGCTGACATGAAGAATTTGGCTATTAAACGTGAAACACAACAATCACGTTCAGTGAGTCATGTGACCACCTCGGCGATAGTAGCCAGCTGTTCAGAGGCAGAGTGTCAGCACAGATCAGCATGAATCGACAGCATACCACGAGTATCTGAGCTAGACGACAACACACAGGACCTATCTTGACACAGTTTAAACGTGCTCAACGTTTATGACAGGCATGTAGACACAGCAGTTTCCACCAAAAGCGATGGAACAGGATTGTTGTTGCGCTTTGTCAGTAGCAAGGGCAGCATAATTTATTGGGTAGCATATTATGACAACGGGCGATGTCAATTAAGGGGGATGTTTTGACCCCAGTCCTTTTGAAACTCCTGCAGCTACATGGTCCTGGACTGACATTTCAACATGACAACGCTACACCCCTTACTTCAGTTTTGACACACCAATTGTTACATTAGGCTGGTGTTAATGTCATCGACTTCCCCAGAGTTGAACCCGATCGCACACATTAGCGATGAGCTGTGAAGATGAGTGCGACAGCAGATGGATAGACCCTAGACCTTGCAAGAACTTAGGCAAGCATTCATTGGCCAATGACGACGACTTCTGGTTGGAGTGTTCTGACAGATTCTCCTTCCCATAGAGAGTTGATGCAGCAGTCACGGAAGTCACACTGCTCATTGATTTCTTCCGTTTCACCAGTTTTATCAATGTTGAATTATAAAAGTTTGTTGTTGAACGTCGCGCTCAGCAATATTCCAGCTTCATTAAGGGTGTCCGTAAGTAATCCAATCTTGACCAGACAATCCAGTGATCGACATCATCAGCATCGCTCTATGCAATTTGGATATGGTGACATATGTCGACAAAGTCAGCGAGCTTGACCATCCTGTTAAGCCCCCCCCTTACGACACAGCATGGTTGCTGAAGACCAACTATAACCCGGATCTCCACGGGGCAGTGTGGAAGTTCACAAAGGGTGATGAAAGAACGCCATGCATCTGTACGATAAAACAATGACGCATTCTACTTGTATTGGCCTGTATTGGCAGGAGGAAGATATTTTGTATTGTCATACTGTTGCTGCTTACTGTTGCTCACTCACTCACTATTTTCTTAGTAATGCACACATTACCTCATTATAGGATTTGATTTAAGAACTGTTAATTATATAATTTAGTTGAATATATCAGGGGGCTAGGATTCGCGTGTAATGTTACTGACGAATCAGCAAAACAAACACGATCATGGACAAATACCATGGACTTATACGGCGGTCATTACCACTAACAGAAACAATAACACTGAACATCTTTTTTGCAGGTTCCACAGGCTCTACTACTCCAAGCTACTTCACAACTGACTATCCCGACTATTACTATAATTATTACCAAGATTACCTAACTACTCCATATCCCTACTACTATCCTACTGACTATCCTCAATATCCCACTACCAGCTATCCCTATTATTATAATTACAACCAATATCCAGATTATGTAACTACTCCATATCCCTACTATGGCCCTATTGACTATCCCTACAATTACCAATATCCAGATTACGTGTCAACTCCATATCCCTACTTTTTCCCCATTGACTATCCTCAATATCCCACTACCAGCTATCCCTATTATTATAATTACAACCAATATCCAGATTATGTAACCACTCCATATCCCTACTTTTTCCCTATTGACTATCCCTACAATTACCAATATCCAGATTATTTGTCAACTCCATATCCCTACTATCCAGCAACCATCGGTGGTATGTATTTTTCTTATCATTAAGCCAGATATCGTGCCTCAAAACTCATATGTTCTTTCATTTATCGGCCTTCTTTTATAAGCACTTGAAGAGAAAAATTGTATTATTGTATTATTTGGCACTTTTTAGTACGAATTCACCTGAATTTCTGATTCACCGTAAAACAGTGATAAAACCAGTTGTACCGAAGAAATCAGCTTCTCTTGTTCCACCTGTCATAACACGCCAGATATTACCAGGCTTGATTTATCAACGAAATACATTATTGTGGTTGTGGAACGATAAAACCTAAATGGACCACTGAAAATCGTTGTTGACACCAGGTGTTGGCAACAAGAGTAAGCATGTCTTGACCTACGGGTAGCCTCTTTCACTCACTCACTCACACAGAACACGACTCCAATATATGTAGTTGTTTCCTGACATCACACAGCAGCACTCCTGCCATGCATCGGCAGCATGTAACAAAACCAGACAATCAAGCGATGGACCAGAGCCACACAATTTAGGGCAATTGCCGGCTTTGTTTAAACCTAAAACGATAAGCTCAGTTTGATTTACTTCTTTACTGTGTAAGAGTTGACATATTCTTCTTCTTAGCAAAGAAGCGTTTATGCAATATATTCCTTTATCTCCCGCATTTACTCACTCACTCTCTACAACTATTTCTATTTCATTGTAATTGTTAGTGAAACAAATCCTGCATAAGTATAAGGAGCTGATGTTTTCACTTGTTGGTTTCAGTGGTTCCAATCCCCGAGGACGTACCTGGCTGTGATACTATCAGCGTAAACACTGATGGTGGGTTTAGTCAGGATAACCATAAATGTTGTCTAAACTATATTCGGTATGAAATCTTCGCATAAGACAAAATGAAAACTGGTTTGTTGCTATCAGTATACCAGTATGTTTTCCTTGTGTTACTGATGATGGTCACATATCTTCCAGCAGAATCAGGGCACAGCCAATTAACTTTAATAGCATTTCTGTTCTAACGTATGCTATATTTGGGATTATACTTTCTTAGCAAGAAAGTTGAAATTCAAGCAATTCTGTTTCTAAATCATATCCGTTCTTGGTTGGACTTTCAAACTGTTGACAATTGTGACAAAATGTGAAATTAGTATTTATGCATCTTGTCCAGGCAACACTACATATTATGGTAACCATGGAAGCATCAGTATCAACGATGACGGTAGCTACGGCAACAGCGAGGACGCTTGTTTTTCACTTCATCCAAGCTTCTCAGGGTCGGGCATCATCACCTTTGTCTTCAACGTGTTTGACATTGAAGAGGCCACCGACTGTATATTTGACTATATCGAGTTTGACGACGGCAACACCAGACTGAGGGAATGTGGCTCTGTTGATGCAGGGACCCAGAGAGAGTGTGAGTTATTGACTGACTTTGTTGTGGTTGATTACAAGGGTTCCATGGAGTACCTAAGTTAGTGCTTCATGTGTGAGATACCACGGGCTTATAGTATTGGGAGACAGGATAGAGATATATCCTTATCTTTAGATGCTAATCAGCGTCACATGGCGATAGGAATATAGGGAGAAGAGGTCTAAATATGACTGAATGGTCGCATACGTTGTCATACAAGTAACATTCCTTGGAACTGAAGCAGGTGCCATTTGATTTTAATTTGACTAAACAAAAACATAAGGAAGTTCATGAAATAGTTGTCGGTGCGTAATATCACAATCTCAAATATTTTAGCATTCCTATCGTATGTTGAGAAGTATTAACGCATGTCGCAGAAGGATATTCTAATCGTAACATTGATCTAATGCTTAGACTGCTCAACGTCAATCCAAGACATGATACAGAACGTCAGTGCTAAAGGATACCCAATCTTGATTATCTTCAGAAACAAATTTCTTTTCGTGTCAAGAAAAATTAGCTGTGAAAATTATGTGAATAGATTACTTAAAATCACAGATGACACCAGGTGTTTCATAAACAGCTCTACACATATCACAAAAATGTTGATTGGTGTTTGACAAAGAGTTCCCAAGAGTGATTGCCCACGATGTGTATGCATATATCCGAAATAGTGGCGAAGAATTACTGAATTAGGTTCATTGCGGACATTGCGTCTGTGGTGCGTAATGTTTTGCTTTTTTACCTCCAGTTGAGTTCCACGACGGCCGTTTCAATGTGTGCTTCCACTCCGACGGATCAGTGACAGGACGGGGTTTCCAGGCCACGTATGCCATGAATCCAGGTAAATACCTGACAAAGGAGGACGATGAATCATGGGTTTAAGACTTGTAGTAATCAGGAAGCTACATTCGGAATATGGTTTCAAAGAAACACCCAGAGCACTCCCACAGCCTTAGGCAGTAAGTTGACAATAACGTACATTGGTTTCTAGTTGTTAGTGTTCTAATTATGTTAACATTTTGTTTGTCATACCTTGCAGTTCAAGAGGTTGACTCTGATGTTACTACATCCTTTCCAGTGTACAGCTTTAACACAACCGTATTACTGAATATTACAGAAAATACGACGCTACCAGGTAGTCCATGTTTCTCTGTCTTACTGTGAACTTCCCTTCAATCATTGTCCTTCTTGTGTAAAACTGTTTCCAAGAACTGAAATCTAACATTAAGCTGTGTAGTAAACATGTCATTTTCTATCATGTTAATGCTGTATATGCACGCCACCATTCGATATTGTTTCATTTCGGAAGCAGCATGACACTAGCCCAGACACTACACAAATAGCGTGAGACATGAGGCTGACAATAACGTACAACCAGAGTACATACATCCATACCGAGACTATACATTTGTTGTTACTATTCTTCATGTGTAATGCTATTGTCTATATCTAGTAGATCCTATCTTCAACTCAACGCTGTCACCTAATTCCACACAGGCCACAACTCTACCAGGTACTCCACGTGTATTATGTAACTGAATGCAAGTTAACAACAGAAGTTTAAGACGTGTGTCAACCAAATCTTTCTTTAATTAGCGTAGTTCTTGTGTAAAATTGTTGTTGTCTCCGAAAAGTGAAATGTAACTATACAACGTGAAGTAACTACGGTTTTCTGTCATGTCAGTATTGCATTATAACTTAAACTTCACCAAAAACTCCTATTGTTCGAATGTAGTCTCGCTGTTGCTCATGCGTGTTATACTTCTGTGTGCTGGACAGTGAATACAACCGTGAACGCTACAGACGACGCAGATGGCGGTGAGTAAACGTGGTCAAAACATAACTCCATTTAGATATCCTCCAGTGTACTAACAAGGAGAATGAGCCATAATGATTGAAAAGTAGTAACCAAGAGCGGAATGTCTGTATGGTGTAGAATCACATGTGTAGTATGAATAGCTTTCATTTCATCATTTAAATAGTGAGGGAATTAACATTTTACATCGTGTCGGCAATATTACAGTTATGTTGCCATGAAAACAAGGTAATCATTTTAAAATATCTGTCGACGAAGAATAGTAGAATAGGTCGGTATATCACAGTTTTAAAATAAAACCAACCTGATGGAAATTACGACACGAAAAAGACAGTAGATTCGATAGATTCATTCTTACCAGTTAAAACCAGGCAATAAACCACTAATAACCAAAGTTAGACCCCCTTACTTGGCACCTTTGAGTTTTTGCTTCATACATGATTTCCCAGTAGAATTTACGCCATCTCTTTGGTTATCAGTGGGTTATGCGAGCCAATATTTCAAATGCTCGGAACAATCAAGATTCTAAAACTCTAGACAATATTATATACTTGTTCAATAATGGACTTATGTGTCACTGGAAGAAGAGCATTACTTTTACACTATTTTAACCCTCTTAGTGTCACTACCATCAATGATCTCAGTTGATGATAATATCAGTAAAATCTTTTACATATCGATATCAAAATTAATCAGCATTTTAATAAAATCAAAGCTTTTCAGATGCATTAGTTAGCAATCGTTCTGTTCCGAAATTACAGACTGCAACCTCGATATTGATGATCTTGAGGGCACCTATACCCTGGCCACTGATTCCGATGGACAATACGAAAACAACCAACACTGTGACATCACTATCCGCTCCTCCCACCCCTCACATCACCACTGTCAACTTTACCCGTTTTGACCTCGAGGACGATACGGGCTGCGACTATGACAGTTTAACTGTAACAAGTGACGAGGGCACAGAGAACCTGTGTGGAACCGAAGAATCCTTTACCAGACAATGTAAGAGGTCTTGATGTGCTAAGTAACCTATAAATCTATGCTATAAACCAAAAGCTCTCATGGGAATGAACATCAACAACAGCCGCACTACTGTTCTCTATTGATACTAGGACATAGTCTAAGGGGAGAGAGAAGGTGTAGGTTTGGGAGATAATCCAACACTTATACATGCATCAACGCGTCTTAAGTAGCGACCATGTACACACATGTCAAACTGAAGAATACCATAACTGCAAGGGTTTTCTCAAGTGGTCAGCATGGAAGTGGATTATCCTTATCCTTAATTTTATATCGCTTTGTTACTACACAAACACTGATAATCAGAGACGGTTTCTCACGTTATGAATTGTGTGGAGCAAAAGAGTACTTCATCCGACAATGTAAGAAGTCTTGCTCTGCTTTTCAACCTTTGAACGTAAGCTATAAGCCAGAAGCTCTCCTGATTATGAACGACTTATTATCTGAGTTTGGTTTTACGCCGCTTTTAGCAATATTCCAGCAATATCACGGCGGGGGACACCAGAAATGGGCTTCACTCATTGTACCCATGTGGGGATTCGAACCCGGGTCTTCGGCGTGACGAGCCAACGCTTTAACCACTAGACTACCACACCGCCCTCCTGATTATGAACACCAACATGACCCGCGCTAAGACTCTCAAGTGGTTCTGTGAATACAGGAGTGAATTATCCTCGAGGTGCACTGTTGGTGTACATCGCTTTCTGACTACGTAAACAAAGATGTTTGGAGAAATGTTGGTATCACCTTTTATACCTGTAACAAACCTGCTGTGTGCTGATACACATCCACTTACCTCACGCAGTTCTCTTGCTTCCAGCTCATGTCCACGTAAGTGGCGTAGTGTATGTCCCTCCCACGGCTTACATCAGCGGTGTTTGCTGTAGGAAAACACAACAACGTCTTAGATGTCTGTGTGGCATGTAATGACACATTTTGGAGCTGTAAATAATGTCTTTATGGGTCCCTTAAATATATACATTAAGCTGATCATTAAGTCTTAGTTCGAGGACATTCAGAGAGACTATGACAGTGACATGTTTCCCATACATTTTACTGTTTTGCAGACACCGGGCAATCAGTTGACATGACATTTACCAGTGACGGAAGTGTTGTGCGTAGCGGTTTCTCCTTTGACTATGTCACTGAAATAGGTACGTATGTTTGCATGCAATATCAGATATTCACATGTGCCATATCTTAGGGGTTTTTTTCCGGTGTATTGTATCGGTTTGACATGGACAAGTGAAGATCTGGGTAGAATTGTTTTCCGCAACATATACTTACAGAAAACAGCAACGAACGAGTTTAAGTGATCAAGCATTTTGAATTGGGTGACGCACGTTATTGCGTTCCAGTTGTGAAGATCGATTCTCATGATGTCTGTATATGGATTGTCGAGATTCGATATTTTACAGACAACAGTCATGTAGCTGACATGTTGCTCATTGTGACGTTAAACAACAACAATGACATGTACTTAAACTCTTCGTTTTACGTGACCATTATTTCTGTTTCGCGTGTGCATCTCAGTTTTGTACGGATGTAAAAACACAAACAGTTTGCAAATAATTAGTCGTTGTTTTTCAAGAACCTCCTGATTTAACAATGCTCGATGAATCAATTCTTTATTTTTTCATGTTTCAGTCTACTGTAATGCAACTATTAACGCCCCATCCGGAACTTTTGAGTCACTACCCGGTGGCTACGAGAACAACATGTACTGCACCTACACCATCAACACCCCTGGTCCTGGAGAACTTGTCTTCAGCTTCCCACTGTTTGACGTTGAGTCAAGCAGCAGCTGCCGATACGACGCCGTGGACATGGAAGGAGACAAACTGTGTGGAACAAACGTGGACGACAAGACATACAGTGAGTAGTACACAGGGACGCACAAACACACACACCTTGCACTATAAGAATCAAGGTATGCCTCATCTTTTCTGGGGCACATGCTTTGAAGAATAGGTTTTATGTGCCACAAATGCCCATTTATATCTAATATTTGATAATTCAGGGAACAACATATCCTGTCGCAGTAACACTGTTGTGCCCGAAGACACCTGTCTGTCTCATATCTCTAGAATCACATGTGACACATCAATATCTATCTTGACAGATACCCACACTCACGTGTGTTCGATCGTGTTCCTCGAGGTCGAAATGATTAGGCTTGGCTCCAGGATATGAAGCAAATGTCATCACTCTACTGGATAGATTAAGTATCACGAAACAGAACTTATTAATGTCGTTTTCTCGTTCTTTAAAAATGATTTTCTTTATGGTGTCAGTAAGATATAAGTATGCTCCCACAGGTACTGATGGGCATTTCCAGATCGTCTTCACAAGCGACGGTTCCGTAACTCGTGATGGTTTCCGCATAAACTTCAACTTCACCCAGACCGATGTACCCACATCCCCACTTCCAACACTACCAGGTACTTTGAATACACACGGCCATGGACATAAACCAGGTTCTGGATCGTGGAGCGATAAATAATATGAATGCCAGTTTTTCTTTTTACAAGGAATTAGCCATGTGCCCACCAGGGTTTGGGGTGGTATTGAATCAGCAGTATTCCAATAAAGTTTTGGGCCGTCTTATGAATCTGAAATATGCCCACCATGGCTTTGTGTCGTGCAAGGAATCGCCAATACGCTAACCAAGGTTTGGAGAAATGATTAAGCAATGTGGATACAGGTACTGGGCCGAAAACAGAATCAGCAATATGTTTGTTTGTTACGAGAATATTTGTGGCTTATGTTTTTCGTTTCCGTCTTTGATTCATGATGACAACCAACGTGTTCTCACTGTCACATTGAGAAGATTGTTCTCATGTGGGATCGACACATATCTCAACATTTTATTGCATTTCTGTTTGTATCAAAGACGGTAAACAAAGAGACATACAAATACTTTGCTGTTACTCAATCCTCTATGTCATCACTGAAATGGATTTCACAGCTTGATAAGACTTCAAATAATAATGTGATATGATATTTTTTTTCATATTTGCACAAGTGCAAATTTCGCATTACTTTTCAGTGACAACCATTCCCCCTACCACTGAGCCTGGTGAGTGTTAGTTTGTCTTGGAGTGGCAGCGACTGCCTTGGTTCGTTTGTGTGTTCTTCCCGTCTGAGCCGCCATAAAGCTGGAATATTGCTGAGTCCGGCGTTAAACAACAATCAATCTCCCTGTTTGATAGCCAGGCAAAACATCTTCTAAAGCGCTATTGAATCCATGGCACATTTGATCTGACTTTGTCTGTTCACGAGTTCATGAATAGTCACCAATAATGATTTTCCTGATATATGTTCTTCTATGTTAGTACAAAATGTCTCCAAAACACAGTGTGTATTATCAAGTGATAATCCAGACACGCCGAGATGTAACTGGAATACTGTTCAAAACAGCATTAAACCCAGCACACTCACTGATGTAACAATTTCTGTGTGCCGTCTCCTAATGACAGAAACCTGCAACCAAGTCCTGACATCAGATAATGGCGCCCTGACAAGCCCCGGCAACGGCAGCTACGCCAACAACGAGAACTGTGTCACTGTTATCACAGGCCCCAATACACCATACACCTTGGTCGTCAGCTTCACAACGTTTGACCTCGAGTACTCATCTAACTGTGGATACGACTATCTGGAGGTGGATACGGGCCTGAGTAGCAGCCAGAAGGGATGTGGATCAAGCTGGAGAAACAGAACAGTGGAGTGTAAGTGTCACATATATTTTAAGTTACATCTTATATTTCACTATTGTATTTAAAAATGTGTCATTCTTTCATTCAAAGCTACATATCAGCCAGTTTATGTTCACAATTACAAAAGAATCAGTAAAAAGGAGAAGACAATACATGTGTACGTCAGTTTGGGAATTGCATACTTACAAAATATTAACATTGTACGTTTCGTTACGAATGTTAGCAATGTCACTTAACAACTTGTTAGTTGAGGTGGGTTGGTGTGATATGATTAAAGCATGTTACTAGATTTTCAGTATAGCCTAAGTTATATTCATAGTGAAAAACTTCCGGAAGATGCACAGGTTGTAGTCTGCGACATCAAAGCACTAAAACCAACCACACGAAAAATGCATCTGACGTTCATAAATTTCACTCTTGATAGCTTCCTATAAATTTCCATCATAAGGAAGAGATATATGTCAAACGCGCAAAGAGCGATGAACACAAGTTAAGCATTATATGAAAGGTGTAATTAACATATGTTTTAGCTTCCCCACTGAACTGCACTCTTAGTTATGTTTAATACAGCAATGTGCTGATTTTTAGACACGTCAGATGGAGGTAACGCCACAGTGACATTTTCTTCTGACTCCAGTTGGACAGGATTGGGATACAGCGCCACCTACACCATCCAACCAAGTAAGCTAAATCCACGTGTACTGGCATTAATTACGGATTATACCATTCTGTGACATTAAAGCCAAGTTCATCTGCAGGGTAAACACTTACCCAAAAGCAGAATCAGCAATAACAATCAATAAAATGACAATTGGTGTCTATAATTATGTTGATTCAGTTGGCTTCCTGATCAAATTCTTTAAAAAAATACCGCCTAATTGCAAGGAAGGCACATTAAAAGTAGAAATCTACTGCTCAATAGCAACGACTTTGTGTGCAGTGTTTCCTTATTTCTGCCAAACAGGCGGTGTTCCTTCCTTGAATAATGGCGAATGTGCATACATCAACACCAACATCTCGGAGGGCGCTATCCAAAGTCTCCCGGGAACCGGCAGCAACTACCCCAACAACATGGACTGCTCGTATGTGTTCACTCGCAACACCCCCTTCTACCTGAACATCAACTTCACCGCCTTCGACACAGAGTCTTCAAGCAACTGCCGCTACGACTATGTCCAGGTTGGGGAGGATAAATACTGTGGAAGTGATTTGCCCAACGCAACCAGAGGTATGCGTCTACAGAGAGCTATTAGCATTCTATATAAATATTATGTATCAGTGAAGTTAGTGGCATTAAAATCAAAAGTATGTGTAGATATCATAATTGTAAAAGGACACGCATGTATAAATGAATTTGTCAGTGGAAACTGAAAATATTTGTCTGTATTTTCTTTACTACATTTTCATATTTTCTTGTGGCTCTGATATTATTTTGGCTTTCCTTCAGTGTCAGTACAAGGTGGATCAGCCATAATTCGCTTCAGAAGTGACATCACTGTTACAGGAAGGGGTTTTGTGGCTTTGTTCAGCATTGAAGAGCGTAAGTATTCCTTAGATCTGTATTTCAACCATACTTATCCAAAGCTGGGTCGAAGTCACTGAACCAGCACAACACAGATTATCATAGAAACAGTCAACAACCCTCGTTTTATCAGCTTATACTTAATGCTACACGTGTCATTTTAATTATCTTTTGATATGAAACATTGTCTTTGTATCTCATAAAATAAGAACGTAGTTCACATTTGCTTACAGATAAGGTTATTTTCTCATCGTGTTTCCTGTGACATTCCAGACTGCAACTTCGACAGTGACGAACTTGAGGGCACCTATACCCTGCCTACTGATTCCGAGGGACAATACGAAAACAACCAACACTGTGACATCACTCTACGCTTTCCTCCTACCGCTCACATCACCACTGTCAACTTTACCCGTTTTGATCTGGAGGACTATATGAACTGCGACTATGACAGTGTGGCAGTGACAAGTGGCGACACTACTGAGACACTTTGTGGAGCAAAGGACTCCTTTATCCGACAATGTAAGATAGTCTTGCAATGCTGTGTAATTAACCGCAGTTAATATTCTTTTTTAAATTTAACAAAATTCGATCGATTATGCTGTGTTGGTATTAATGTACTTATCTTCATCTATTTTATTAGTTGATTAGTTGATGCTCATAGAGGGCATTTATGGAGAGTGACATATTCACAAGAGTGACTATATGTTTTACTGTTTTGCAGACAATGGGCCAACAGTTGACATGACATTTACCAGTGACGGAAGTGTTGTGGGTAGCGGCTTCTCCTTTAACTATGTCACTGAACTAGGTACGTAACTTCATGTAATGTCAGTTTATACGTTCTTTATCTCAGTTTCTTGTCTGAATTACCTCCGTTTCATGTCTGAATTGTTTATTCCTTTCACTGCCCATTATCAAACAAAACTCTTTCTAGGTCACAATAATCCCTAATCACTTTTCCAAATCGCACTTATTCCAGTCTACTGCAATGCAACCATAAACGGCACCTCCGGTACCTTTGAGTCACAGCCTGGTGGTTACGATAGGAATATGTACTGCACCTACACCATCAACACCCCTGGTCCTGGAGAACTTGCCTTCAACTTCCCACTGTTTGACGTTGAGAGAGGCACCAGCTGCCGATACGACGCCGTGGAGATGGGAGGAGACAGGCTGTGTGGAACAAACGTGGAAGACAAGACCTACAGTGAGTAGTACACACGTATTACCCATAACGTTAATATGTGAAAACCAGTCTTTCTTCGCAGGAGAGTTTTTGTCGCATTTCATTACTGGACACATAGTGGGTTGTGTACATGTCCAAAGTGCGATATATAATGTGAACGGGACATTACGTCACCATGTTATAACTGACTGTTAAAGCTGAACACCACACGGTCATCTCATCTCTTTAACAATGAGGTTTTAACATGTGCTCCCCACACCTGTTTTCCCGTCCAATATCTAAAGACGTCTCTTCAATTGGCGTGTGTTGATTTCATAGATAATCTGTAATTAGGGAATGTTTACTTTATCCTTCTCTTTACGAAACAGATTTCCAATCTTTTCTTTGTATTATACCGATTCCACCACACGCTGTTTTTTTAATCGGTATTTCTATTTTCGCAGGTACTGATGGTCATTTCCAGTTCACCTTCACAAGCGATGGATCCGTAAATGGAGACGGTTTCAAGATAGACTTCGTCTTCCTCCCTGAAGAAATTCAGAACTAGGTAGGAGTGTCATCATATATTTTAGACAACATAAATATGTTTCCCATTAATCGGATCCTATACATCACCAGAGATCGTCTATCCATAAGCCTACACTAGATATCCCTTTAACCTCTGCCCATTGATGGTGCATTCTCAATTTACGCGCCTTTGACATTTTTCTGAACCAATAAAATAACGAGTTATGGACAAAGGAAATAGGCGAGGGAGGTAACGTGTACTGCCCAGAAACCAAAACCAGTGCTATTTGTGAAGGACATACAGGCATCCTCTCAGTCAAAAAAGAATTTAAGGGATTTCTTTTGTGTGTTAATAAAGTTTTTCAATGTTGACCTTTCTTGCAAATGGAATCCATTGAACTGACAGTCACGTAGTTCACATCATCGCATTTGACAGTAAGGTTGGTTGGAAACTCGATATTTCGATTGGTCGGTCAGAGTGAGGTGAGGTGAGGTGAAATTGGGTTTAACGTCGCGGTCAGAGTGAGTAGTGTCTAAAAGTATACAATTTGAAATTGCATGAACCCAAGGAAGGCAGAAAGACAGACAGACAGACAGATTTTATTCAGTTATTAACATCAATCAATCAAATTTACCAATCAACATCAATTTTGAATACTGAGTATACCCATGTTATACTTTGCAGGGTAATAAGCAGGAGTTGCTGATTTAGTATTGCTAAAGGATGAAATTTATAATGTTGAATTCAAATATTATCAAAGAGATTTAAAAAATGCTTTTGTGAAGTCCATCTCCATGAAATGGCAACTATTTTGGAACGTTTGTTAGGGACACAAAGCAACAACATGGTCCAGATGTTTAGCCATCTTTCCAAAACATAAGAAAAAGATTTTCAACATCACATTTGGAGAAAGTTGGAACAAGTGTTATCTGCCTTGAGAGATCAAACGATATATCACCTGTTGACGCACCGAGAGAGAGATGTTTTTTAAATCGAGCTTCCTCATCATAATTTCTTCTTCAACTTCCAGTTGCTTCATCCGAAATTCTCTCCTCCTGCTCAGTTTCAAATCTCAATTTATCTGCTTCAATTTATTAAAGCTTCCATTTTCCAAAACCAAATTCTCTTTCTTTCTCGCCTTCGATGTTTTTAAGTTGAATTTGGACGTGTAATTCCCTTAATACCAAAGTGCCACTCTTTTCCTAAATCAAGGCCAAAGGATCATCATCCCATATTTCGTCCTCAAACAGGAATGTGATCGAAATGTTCTTGACATCGGCATTAAGCAAGTTCAGACTTCCTGAGCATAGAAACCTCTTCCGTAGAAGGTTGGCTAATACTTTAACAATTGGCTTCTAAACCTGACTAAGATATAAAATCAGTACACATCAATACAGCCTAAGCTGATCGTGCAGGGTATAATGATTACGACACATAATGCTGGTCTTCTTCAAACTTGAGAGATGCGAGGCAAGAATTAACTCCCCTTACCAGAAAAAGAGTGCTTGGAAATGTCAACAGATGCAATGCATTACCCTTGGGATATTGTTACACAATGAACAACACTACCACATAACTAGGTACAAAGTCAGTCTGGCAGTTTTACATGTGGCATGTTTTGGTGGCTTGTCTACTTATCCATCTTCGTACAATTTGACCACACAGTACGATTACTGCCATAGTAGGCATTGCATATCTCAGTCACAGAACAGACCCAATATCCACACATTCCCTACAAAGATATTAATGAAAGTTTCACGCTGCATTAACCCCTCACACATAGAATCTTGGATGAAGAAGGGTTCCTTTACCATTGTCATCTTTTAAGCAATGAGAGTGGATTAATATCTTGCCCCAAGTAATGCTGGTAACTACCTCTGGGGTTATCAATGTACAATAGCTTCACAAAACCTATTTTGATTGTCTGAATGCGTGTGTAACCAGCGTAATCACATGTCCTACAATGTGCTTTCACTGCTTCTAATGCATGTTTGTTTTGGTTACAGACACGTGGACCATTTACCACCAGATGGAAAACATGCTCAATAAACAACTGCAATGAAAAACACATTGTATTTTTGTTTTGTTTGTATAAGAATGAGCGTAAATCATTGTTTTCAGCCACAGATAATAATATTTGGGCTAGTCGGGAATGGTCTCTTCTGCGCGCGAGTCAGGGACAGGAGGATTCAATGCTAACAAAATGATTGTAGTACTAAAGTATTCACGACCCACATTTCACATTAACAATACATTACCACAACAAAAACACAAGAAAATATGCAATAATATACAAAGTAGCATTGAAACCACGACACAGATCAGTAATATATCATACAACATAAGGGTCGGCGGGGACGTACATACCCTGCCATGATGTAGCTGGAATATGGTTACAATGATGTGAACTATCCTGTTCACTCATTCACTCACACAGCATGAATCTTTACACAGATACGTTTGTATTACTGACTATATACCAATGTCAATGCAAAGGTAACAATGACACATTGTATCCACACATTCTGCACTAAAAGTACTAAAATTTGTACTTTATTGAGAAAGTGTAACCCCAAATGTTGCATATCTTACATTTGACCACTTTCTAAATGGCATTGTGGATTCATTTCGGTCGAAGGAGTCGTGCCAATATACACGTGTGAGAGAGGTACACAAAGTACATGATCTATACTATCAGTTGTCAGACTATTGCCAGCTGTTGTGTCTGAGTGAGTTGGACTGCTGACTTTGTGTGGTGGCAATTATGTGCCTGACCCTGAGAGTGTGGGTTCAAATCACGGATGGGACTCAACCCTAAAAGTACTAGAGTCTGCATTCACTGAGAATGTAAAGTGTAATCCAAATATAACTCGTGTTACTGCACGCGAGGGAAATGTCTTACCGTCGACTGTGAACAAAGAAATAGAAGTGGGATTACCACAGAAAACTGTAATCCTTGAATGGATTGAAGATGCGCTTTTTCCACGACTTGACAGTTCAAGGTTCAGAGTGATGTGTATCATGACTTTACATGAGAACCTGCAACACCGAACCAGAAGCAGTATAAAGTCACAATGTAGCAACAGCTCACGATTAGCACTTCATGCTCACATTGTTGTATATTGATTGATCAGCTGAACTCAACTGATCTGATCTGATCAAGGGTATTTCTTCCCGAGTTGTAAGTTATCCAGTGAGGATATATACCATACGTTTCTGGGAAAACACACCAGAGCAGCAGTACGGTCGGCACCATTGGGTTGAATATTTACGTGAATAATCTTATCACTCGCTTATTGAACAGATTTGAAATTCCAAACAAGTTTGTGCCTAAATTCTGTGTTGGTTCATTCACGTGCTTTAGGCACGTTTAACGACAATTGGTTTCGTGTCTTTCAGTGGCATTTAGAAGATGTACATTGATGTCCAAGATATTTTTTATGGATTAAACTTCTTTTTAATTTCTCTCACGAAATATTTCATGTCAATAAAATATCCATCATCAGTGAGTTTGTGTGCTGCAGAAAGGAAGACAAATGCTCATTGTCATTTCTCAGCTTCAGAGATGTTGAAGAATTTCTGTGTCGTGAGAGAAATTAAAAAGAAGTTTATTCCATAAAAATATCTTGGACGACAATTGGTTTCGTTCCAACAATCCATGAACAGCCAGTATGTTTTCGTGCCGGTATGTATGAATGTATGCAATCAGTAAATTGTCTTCTTTGTTGCTGTTGCATGAAACCGTCCAGGCTCTCATCCAGCCAGTGACTCTTCAAAACAAAGTCTACATGTACCGAGAATGAATGAATCAATGAACGAACGAACGAACGAACGAACGAATGTTTCCTTCGATAACTTCGGAGAGTGACAACTGTTTAAGATCCTCCTGTTTATCACAGAGGTATATATTGTAATAACAGTACATATACAACCACATGTCATATACAGATTATGTCTGTACTACCATCCCTGCAACATGGCGACTATTAAGGATAGCACAGTACATTACAAGTAGCATGTTTGGGTAGAACCCAATGTAGCCTGCTGTGTCACAACACAATGTAGCATGCTGCTCTAACACACGTGGCATGACATTGTGAACCACAATATGCGGCATGTCTTAACGCAAAACAGTGTAGCATGTGCAGTAGCGTGTACACAATATAATGACACCAAAGTTTAGTACACACAACCAGATGTGGTACTATACATGAAGACATATAAAAGTTGTGTTTTATGATTTCAGACACACAGGCGTATATCACAGTAGACACCTTCAAGTTCGAGTTATTTACGGTAACCATTATTTTAAAGAAATCAAAATTATGAGTGGAGAAACTTGAACTTGAGTAATATTATTTGTGTTCTTCATAACCGCTTA